GCACCCCAGCGCCCACGCCGTCGCTGGTTCCGGGCCCTCTCAGTTCCGCGATTCCCCTGAAAAGCTGAGGTCTGGACACAGGAAGCGACAGGCGTTGCAGCCAATGGCGTCGCGCACGATAAACCTGATACCCAATCAAAGACAAGGCTGGGGGGGGGCGGGAACCACGCCCGACTCCAGGTGACTCCTTGGCAGCGAGGGAAGAGCGTCTCCATCAGCTGATAGTATCTCCACTTGGCCGGTTCTAGGGGCGAGTACGGGACCCAGCTGCGGGAGCGCGCGGGCAGTGGCCAGCCGCGGGGTCGTTGTGCGCAGCAGCTGAGGAGAGTGATGGAGGAGCACCGAGAGGCTGGGAGGTGGAGCTCAGCGGTTGAGCGTCGACCCAGGAACCATGAAGTCGCTGGTTCGATTCCCAGTCATTGCGGGCTCAATCCCCAGTAGGGGTATGTGCAGGAGGCAACAGATGTTCCTCTCATCAATGTTTCTATCTCTCTATCCCTCCATGAGTTATATCTTTGGTTGATTACCTCCCCCACCTTCCCTCTGAGATTCCACATTCTGTTCCATGCTTCCATGTCTCTGGATCCTCCCTGTTCATCAGTTTATTTTGAAATTAGATTTGTGGTCCATCCTTGACATCCCTGGGTTGCAGGTCAGGGCAGTGCAGGAGACAACCAAATGATATGTCTCTCTCACATCAATGTCTCTCTCTCTCTCACTGCCTCCCTTCTACTCTCTCTAAAAATCAATGGGAAAAATACCCTCAGGTGAGAATTAACAAAACAAAAAAAGATTAAAATGGTAAATTGTATGTTATGTATATCTTACCAAAAAGCTTATCACAAACATTACAAGAAATGAAAAATGCAGGTTAATATCTCTCTGTGAACATAAATGCAAAAATCACAAACAAAATATTATCAAGTTGAATAAGCAAAATATTTTAAAAATAATCTATAATAATAAAAGCATAATATGCTAATTAGACCGAATGTCCTTCTGGACGAAGTTGGGGCTGTGAGGGAAGCCCGAGTCCCGGGTACCCGAGGGAAGCCGGTGCCAGCAGCCGGGAGAAGATAGGCCTACACTTGCACGAATTTCGTGCATTGGGCTTCTAATACTTTACAACAAAAGTGTTCTGCCTGGACAGTGTGGCTCAGTGGTTGAGCGTTGACCCAATAAACAGGAGGTTACAGTTTGATTCCTGGTCAGAACACATGCCCCAGTTGTGGGCTCGGTCCCCAGTGGGGGATGAGCAGGAAGCAGCTGATCAATGATTCTCTCTCATCATTGATGTTTCTCTCTCCCTCCCCCTTCCTCTCTGAAATCTATCTATCTATATATATTTAAAATGTTCTTCCAGGAATGCAAGGTTGTTTACCATCTGAAAATCAATCAGTGAAATTCAGCACATACACAGAATAACAGGAAAATCCAAATGATATCTCAAGAGAGAGAGGGAGAAAAACCCTAACCGGTTTGGCTCAGTGGATAGAGCGTTAGCCTGCAGACTCAAAGGCCCCAGGTTCAATTCCGGTCAAGGACAATGTACCTTGGTTGCGGGTACATACCCAGTAGGGAGTGTGCAGGAGGCAACTGATCAATGTTTCTAACTCTCTATTCCTCTCTCTTCCTCTCTGTAAAAAATCAATAAAATATATTTTTTTAAAAAAGAGAGAGGGAGAAAAAAAATGATTTAAAAAGTCAAGAAAGGGAGAAGGGGGAGAGAGAAATATTGATCGGTTGCCTCCCAAATGGCTCCCAACCAAGTATGGAAGCTGCAATCTGGGTATGTGCCCTGACCTTTTGTGTACGGGAAGATGCTCCAACCAACCTAGACACACTGGCGAGGGCAACACAGTCTATTTATTTATTTATTTATTTAAATATATTTTTATTGATTTCAGAGAGGAAGGGAGAGGGTGAGAGAGAGATAGAAACATCGATGACGAGAGAGAATTATTGATTGGCTTCCTCCTGCATGCCCCCCACTGAAGCTTGGGCCCGCCATGGGCACGTGCCCTTGACCAGAATCAAACCCGGGACCTTTCAGTCCTCAGGCCGATGCTCTATCCACTGAGCCAAACCAGCCAGGTTTTTTTTTTTTAAAGTGCTAAAATAACTGGTTGTTTATATGGCAAAAATGGATCATAACCTAAATTACATAGAAAATTAATTGAAAATGGATCATAGGCCTAAATATAAAAGCTAAAACTATTAATTTTTTTTTAAAATATATTTTTTTGATTTTTTACAGAGAGGAAGGGAGAGAGATAGAGAGTTAGAAACATCAATGAGAGAGAAACATCGACCAGCTGCCTCCTGCACATCTCCTACTGGGGATGTGCCCGCAACCCAGGTACATGCCCTTGACCGGAATCGAACCTGGGACCCTTCAGTCCGCAGGCCGACGCTCTATCCACTGAGCCAAACCGGTTTCGGCAAAACTATTAATTTTTGAAGAAAAAATAGAATATCTTCATGACCTTGGAGTAGGCAAAAGTTTCTTCAAGAGTACACAAAAATCCTTAATCATAAAAGAAAAATCTGATATATTGAGCCTGTAAATTATAAGTCATTAAAAGAGTAAAAAGGCAAGTAGGAAATATTGGCAACACATATAACTGACAAAGGGCTTGTCTTTAGTATATATAAAGAGTTCCTACAAATCAATAAGAATAGCATTTTAAAAAGGAGGTTAGGGAAGGAACAAAAGATTTGAATAGGCATTTTACTGAAAGAAGATATCCAAATGGCCAACGGGTACCTAAAGTGGTGTACATAAACTATGAAATATTCATATAATGGAATACTACATAGTAATGAAAAAGAACCGCTGCACTCAACATTTATGTGTCTCACAAAGAACATGGACACAAAAAAGTATGTATGTACAATTACATGTTTATGAAGTTCAAGATCTATGGCGATATTAGTCAGAATAGTGGTCCCCAATGTGTGCCAAAGCCTGTGAGACAGTTGTGATGCATGGAAGTGTTTCTGCAGCACCTGGAGGCCCACCCCACCCTGTGGCAAAACCACTTCTTTGACTTTTTGGAATACAGCCAGGATGTGAGCTGGGCTAGAGCACAGGGATCACCCCTAGGGGTGAGAGGCAGGGCTCTAGGCGGGCTGAAGCCTCTTGTCAGCTCTGCCAGTGGCATGTGCCTGGGGTGGGAGGTGCAAATACCCACTCCAACATCATACCCTCCCCGCGTGTGCCTCAGCTGAGTATCGGAGGAAAGAACAGAAAGGAGATCCTTGGGGGTTTTCTAAGGAATACAGGCAGTCCTCAGGTTATGTCGGATTTGACGTACGTCGTTTCATGGTTACGTTGCCATCCCCCATTTATTTATATAAAAAAAGTTCCATCATTTCAACGTATGTACATATGTGCTTTTATGTTTTTTCATTATTTACTAGAGGCCCAGTGCACTAAATTTGTACACAGGTAGGGTCCCTAGCAGTTGCCGGCTGCCGGCCGGGGCCTCCCTTCCCCTGGCAGTCTGCCGCCACCACCTGGTTGAACTCCAGGTGGAGGGGACAATTTGCATATTAGGCTTTTAGTATATAGGATTTCCCACAAGTAAAGGTCAGGAATTGTTATCTTTCTTTTAAATTTTTCTTACTGTTTCATTTCATTACTGCTGTGTATGTGCTCCATGTGAGAGACGTAGGTGCCTAGGTAGGTGGGTTCCAACTTACAGTCGTGCTGTAGGAACGGATCTCCGAGGTAACCCAAGGACCTACTGTATTGTGAAGTCTGCAGATGAAGCCCTCATCACTGGCATGTCAGGGCTCAGGGTGACCCGTGGGGCTGCTTTCTGGATTCACCCCAGGGCCTTAGATCCACAGGAAAGATCGATGCTAAGGGTGGCTGTGGGAGGAAAGCCACTGTGGGGCCTGGCCCAGAGGAAGATTGTGCCTCTCCTGGTTGTCTGTGGTGCCATGCTCTTGGACACAGTGGGTTTTATCTTACTCCCTTAGGTGGATGACTTCTTTGACCAAGGGGACCTTCCTGCTGGAATACCACACCCACATCCGGGATGCCTGCCTGCGAGAAGACTGAGTCATGCACCCCCACAAGTGTACACAGGGCCCAAGGGGCCCTGGATTCCCTGCCCCCTCTCCCTGGTGGTTTGGTTCTCCAGGAGAGAAGAGAGTGGGAATGCCCTGTGTCTGTCCATGGCCACAAACAGCAGAGGTGAGGCTTGACATTCAGACCAATGGGTTCTGATGGAGGCCTGGCAGACAGTTCTATTCCTATCTCAGCTTCACTAAGTTGTCTGGGAACACAGGAAGTCAACCAGCTAAAGAGGTGAGAAATCCCCAGCTGGCGTGGCTCATTGGTTGAGTGTTGACCTATGAACCAGGAGGTCAGGGTTCAATTCCCTGTCAGAGCATATGCCCCAGTTGTGGGATTGGCCCCAAGTAGGGGGCATGCAAGAGGAAGCCAATCAATGATTCTCATCATTGATGTTTCTATCCCTTCCTCTCTGAAGTCAATAAAGATATATATAAACAAGTGTGAGGATTCCCTCACGCCCTTTCTCTATAGGTTCCCCTGTGGAAACCTATCTGTCTGCTCTAGGTGGGAGCTGGGAAACAGGAGAGGGAGATTTCCCCAAGGGTGGGGTAAGGACTGGGAAGCTTTAAGCAGCCACATAAGGCCCCTGCCCTAACTCCTCCCCACTGCCTCTTAGGA